GATTGGAGAGGCTTCAGGCTGGGCTGAGGGACAGCCCCTCTCCCCTGCCCCCGTGCATAGATTTCATGCACCGGGCCTCTAGTTATTTATATTGATGCTTACATCTTCCAAAATGGAGTCAGTGGCAGTCCCTCTAAGCAGGCTTCTGTATCTTTTGACATGTCAACTATAATCACATACACTGTGCACCTCAAAGACAAAATAAGGATTCCTGGTGGCTAACTGGGCTCAAATCAATAAATGAAAAATCAGAGACTAGCAGACATTTCTGCACAGGAGTCTCCTCTTCACAGAGAAGCCTTTTTGTTAAACTGTCTGCCTCTGTCCTTACCTGCCTGCCTCTGAGTTGAACTGCTTCCTTTGCTCTGAACTGCCTGCACTGTTTCTGCCATCTGAACCAGCCCTTATGAAGGTCTCTTGGAATCCTATTTCAACGAATAGAATTGGGGCTTTCCCCTTCCATTCAGAGCAAGAAACTCTGACCAATTAGAGCAACTTTATTCTGACCAATCAGGACAGTGCCTTTGGACCAGACTGTGAAGATTCTGAGTCTTCATTTGCATGAGAATGGACCAATTACAGACCAGGGCTGGGGACTTCTGTCCATATAAACTAGCTCCCCTCTGGCTCAGAAAGCATACTTTCTAAAACAGAGAAGACTGAAGACTTTGTTTCCCTGGCTGGAGCTGAAACACCTAAGATGTCTCACCGGAGTGAAGCAGAGGGAACCATGATGAAGCAGAGCTGCCTGGATGAAGAACAGCCTGGCCTCAGGGTCTCCTGGCCCTGAGGCAACCTAAGGAAGGTGCAATAACACTGGTGAGCTGTTCTCCAGCAGTGCTGCTTTCACAGGCATGCTGTATTACAACTGAGCTGTTTGCACTAAAGTTTCCTTCATCACACCCCAAAATGAGGATTCCTGTTGTCATCTGAATTGCCAACAACCATGGGTTGACAAAGCAGACACAAAACAGATTAGCGGTAGCCCAGGACTGGTCCTGAGGAGATAGCAGGAATGGAATGACAGCTAATAAATAGGGGCTTCTATTTTGTGGTGAAGAAAATATTCTAGAAATAGATGTGATGGTTACACATCTCTGTGAACATACCAGAGACCCACTGACTTATACACTTTAAAATGGCAAGTATATAGTTTGTGCATTATATTTTAATACAGTTGTTAAAAGTCAACTTGGTACTTGGTAAGATTGCTCAATATTATAATAAAAGGTCTTCTTAGTTCCATTTTTCCACAAGGCCCCTGCACTCTCAGTATGCATGCTCTCCTCACTCCACTGTGGCTTTAACACACTGCTCTGTCTCACTGTAAATCTTGTGTGTACATTTTCTACCCCTATGTATCAAAATATAGTAAGTTTTTCAGGTGTCTATTTCACCTATATTGATGGTTCCTCTGGATCGTGTCATGATAAAAACAATGGCATTTGAGCTATAAATTCTTCACTGTGAAACTATAAGTTGGTGCCAATGTCCTATATAATAAAGAGGTAATATGTAAATTGACCATCACACCCTCTCACAAGATGGCTGCCCTCATGTGGCCACAAGTTGGCTGGCAGGAGAGGGCAGTTGGGGGTGACCAGGACAGAAGGGGAAGGCAGTTGGGGGCAACCAGGCCTGCAGGGGAGGGCAGTTGGGGGCAATAGGGCTGGCAGGGGAGTAGTTAGGCATCGATCAGGCTAGCAGGGGAGTGATTAGGAGGTGATCAGGCTGGCATGCAGGCGAGCGGTTGGGAGCCAGCAGTCCTGGATTGTGAGAGGGATGTCCTACTGCCAGTTTAGGCCCAACCTCTGAGGGGGTCCCAGATTGGAGAGGGTGCACGTTGGGCTGAGGGACATCCCCCTCCCCAGTGCACGAATTTCGTGCACTGGGCCTCTCGTCTACAACATAACACCTCAATAGCTATTCTAGCTTTACCCATTTTTTCCATCTTCTATAAACTCCCTTATTTCCACTCACTAAAGGAGGTTAACTTCATACTAGGAAATTGATAAAATATGTACATACTTTGAGGAAACTTGGAGGCAGTTTGTTACTGCTTGAAGGAGAAACAAATATGAAAGGAGAGACAAATATAAAAATGGAGAAAAATAAAATGAATATTTAGGTGTTATATTGCTTGGCTCCAGTACACACATTGTATTATTGCCACATTCTGTATGCATGCTATCCTCATCCCATTGACACTTTTTGGGGTCACCCTGCTTTGGGTGACCCTAAATTCCACCACTTCTCATGTGGACCTTCCTCACCCTGCCTAGGTTTCAACCCCCTGTACTAAATTGCTTCCTGGTAAAATGCCCTCCTCACTCCTCTGGGGCTATGCCGTGCTGCTGTACTTCTCTGCATGTAAATTCTCACCCTTTCAGCCTCCACTATCCCACATCAGGTTCAGCCGGGGTAGTTTTAAAGGTAGACTGATGACTATGGTTCTCTTTATAAATGAACTGGAAGTATCAGGAATTGTGATTGGATGGGGATGGTTAATTCATGACTTTGGAAGAGATATACAATTGCTGCTGGTAATGGCAGAGTCCAGGTTATGAGTAAGATGTTGTCACCATAATGGAGAGCAGATGGAATTCCTGATAAAACTGTTTGAGTAACAGGTATATAAACTATGAAAGGTGATGGCAGAAGAACATATAAAATGTTGTCAAAAATAGCAATTGTCTGAAAAGATTGATTTGTATTGCCTTTGACCTCTGAACTCAAGTTATTTAAGCCAGAGAGAGAGATATTAAGCAATCATTTGAAGTAAAATACATAATTTGTCTCAAGTTCTGCAAAATGTATCTATTCTTACGAAATTACAAAAACATGTTTTGTATGTTAATTAATTATATAGTCACAAAATACAATTAGACTATACACCAAGGACTTAAAATTGACTACTATAATCAACATGCAGTTTATAATGGTTGGCTGATTACTCTTTGGAATGTAATTTAAATATAATAAAAATGAGAAACATAAAAACTAATTCTGTTAGGATGTGAATTTGGAATTATAGCTTTTAATGGTTGAGTCCACACTGATAATAAATAATATCATGCTGTTTAATTACTGGGAGAGACTCTAGCTATTTAAAGTATATATTTCATGACACTGATAATTATAACAGTGCACATAAATTTTAAGATTGTTTAATTTAGTTATTTATTTAGCAAATGAAAATAGATTATATTTATGTATATAGTAGATTTAAGTAGAGATGAGGTAGATTTAAATATAGTGGACTATATTTAGGAGTACATCTATTCTAGACTTGCCTAGCTAAGATCTAAATTACTTCTTGACAGAATTTATTTTAAAACAAATTTAAATATTGTAAAAGTATGTTGACATAGTTCCTAAACAGTGGCATTTTACTGAAAGGAAAACAGAGATACATTTTGCCTGTTCTTAAAAACACATAAGCAGAATAATTCAATATAAAGATCTTGGAAGTATTTTATTACATTTAATCATGCTTTTTTGATATTTTGGTGCTACTGTAAATAGTCTTGTTTTTCTCTTTACAATTTTTTTATTTACTCATTGATAGCACTAGAAATACAATGCATTTTTTATATTGAGTTTTAACTGCAGTATTTCAAAATTAACTTGATTCTAGTCATTTTTTGTTAATTTACTTAATATTTTTAATGCACAAGATACTGTCTAAGGACAAATATATTTTTATCTTTTATTTCCATGCATTATGTCAATCACTATTTTTACTTTTCTTGATGCACTGCATGGGAAATCAGTAAAATACTGAATAGAATGATGAAAGCAGAAATATTAGCCTTGTTCCAGATTGTCAAAAAAAGCATTCTGATTTTCATTACTGCTTATGATATTACATCACTTTTGTTTTTCATAGCTGCACTTTACTAAGACACAGAATTTTTTTCTCTTTCTTCTTTTTGAAAGTTTTATCTTAATGCAATGTTAAATTTTGCCAAATGCCTTTTCTATAACTAATGTGATTTTTGTATGATTTCTCTCCTTTATTTGTTAACAGAGTGAATTATACTATTGAATTTAAGTAATAGAAAAATCACTGTACAGTTTGGACGTATACCAACTTGTTCTACATGTATTATTCTTTGTATTATTGCTAATTGTGTTTTGTGAACATATCTTGGACTGCTGTAATAAAATGCCAAAGACTGGGTAGCCTATTAACAACAGAAATTTATTTTTCATAGATCTGAAGGCTGGGAATATTATATCAAGGTGTCAGCTGGTGGGGTGATGCCCCCTGCAGGGTCAAATCTGTATTGTATTCTCATGTGTTTTAAGGATTTCGGGAACTTCATCAGGCCACTTTCGTAAGGATAAAAAACCCACTCACAAGGAATCCACCTTCATGACCCAATCACTTCCCAAAGTCTGCACCTCCTAATACAAACATCTTGAGGGTTAGGTTTTAACAGATGAATCTTGGGAATACACAAATAATTCAGACCATAACAATACATTCCAATGTTTACAAGTTATGACGCACTTTACGAAAGTAAAGAACAGAAAATGAAGAAATATTAGAAAGAGAAGAATGTATGCCTTTACAAGAAGTGCCATAAATATGAAAGAGGGTGAACAATTTACCCTCAGACTCCAGTTAAACATTCTAAAACAAGTAGCATCTAAAGAGGATTTAAAATAATTGTAGTATAATATATGTATAGTTGGAGAAGCTGGGAAAGAGAATAGCATAAACAGGTTCATAGCCAAAAATGGGAGGAGGCGGGCAGGTGTAATGAGAATAAACAGGCTTACTTGAAGCAGACACTTTCTGTTTTGGAATAATGGATTTGATAAAAGGTTAAAATGACGGTCTGGGTTTTTTTATTTTTTATTTTTCACGCACAGGTGCACTTTATTGAGCTCAGCTGCAGACAGGTGTGTGTACAGGTGCAGGGGAAAGGGGTGGGCGCCCTGGAAGGGCCAGCAGGGGGTGGGGAGGACTCGGCCACTTGCCATGGCGGCGACTAGAAACCTCTGTTATGCATCACGGTCTGAATGACTCCCGGGAGCACAAGGACCAGGAGAACAATGAGTCCGATGGTCATAATGATGCCCAGGACCACGGCCCAGATGTTCAGGCACTTGGCGGTGGACGCATAGCTCTGGGCCCCAATCACGTCTCCCACCATCTTCCGGACCCTAGACTTCACGGAGTAGGCGAAGGCCACGAAGCCCAGGCAGCATGTGTTGAAGAAGAGGGTGTTGAACAGGGACCAGACGATGTGGTCGGGCACCACTGTGTCAGTCTGGATGTTGACCATGGTGGACAGCTCAGGTCTCTGCCTCGGGAAGCATCCACCTTCTTCGCCTGAGACCCACCTGCTCCCCAAACAGGAGATGTTCAAGGAGGAACACGAGGTGTCTGTGCTGGGGGTTCCCCAGAACCCAGGGCCCGTGATGTCCACCGTGGTCAACGGTCTGGTTTTAAAGTTCATTGAAGAACTTACGACAAAATTTGAGTTCACCTAGAAGAGAGTTGGAAAACATTCAATTTTTAAAGTATTATGTTTAAATGATCAAATAAAATATTTAAAAATAATAAGTGGCTGTGATAACAGGAAGCATTAAAGGAGAATAAGACCACAGAGGAATGGTACATATTGAAGACTATTATAGCAATCTCCGGAAAGCCATGGAAAGAATGCAATGAGTGCAAGACATGTTGTAGAAGATTCCAGATGTGATAAAACTGAATTTGGAAGATAGGAACAGGTGGGTAGCTAATTTTTTTTTCAAAATTTTCAAACTAGTTGATATAGGAGATGGTGAAACTTATTTTAAGATAGCATGGGAAATAGCTTTTTAGTCAGGGGAAGTTAAGTGTTTAATTAAAGTGTTAGATTAAACTTAGGTGATAATAAGACATCAGAACTAATTATCTACCAACCAATGAAAAGGATATGAGGAAGGGGGAAATGCCCACAGATTAAAGATCTTTAAGGAAATAAGGCTGAAGAATTTCCAAATATATTGGATATTACAACAGTGTTCAAATTACAAAATATCCCAATCAAATTGACTACCTGGAAATTAGTTTCCTAACAATACATTTTTAAAAATATTTTTTGAAGAGAACTCTGAGGCTGTTTAAAACTCTGTTCATGAGGATCTACATTCTGTTCCTGAGAACTGTTTAATGATATGGAAAAATGCAGGTAACAGTGAAAAATTTGGAACAGAAACTGAAAATCTACTTTCCTATCACAACATATTCAACCATCCCATTCAAATCATCACCAGGCCCAGAAGTTTTTAAATACAGAACTTCAGCCAGGAATTGCTTATATTTCTCCCTCATGCCACTGAGCACTGTTCATTGTATATAGTAGTTACTCAAATATTCTTGTCTGCTATATTTATGAGGGACACAATAGACAAATAGAAAAGAGATGTAAAATAATATGTTGGGTCTAATGACATTTAGAAAATAGCCTATCAAAATGGGAAAGCCTATCAAAATGAAATTCACTAAAACATAAAAACAATGGTCCATAAAGCTGTGAAAAGATGCTTAGTTACATTAATAATCAGGTGCAAACCAACAATTGGTTTTCACTTTGGCATTTATAAACGACCATATTTGCAAACATTAGCATCTGATAGCACTAACTGTTCCAAGGGTGTGGGGCAAACAGAACAGTTTACACATTCCTGGTGAAAGTATAAATTGTTGCAGCCACATTGAGAATCACTTTCCTGTTTAAGTTTCTAGCCGGGAGATAATTTATTACCTGAGAATAAGGTTACCTGGTCTAGGTGGGTCACAGATTAATATTCATAATGGTTGAAAAGTGGAAACAGATTAGTTAAGGAAATTGATATGTTTTATTGGAATAATGAAATATATTTTATAGATAACTAAATCTGCATATATTGCCATGAATAAAGCTAAAAAATACAGAATAGGAGAAAACTGTCTTCTAGAGTTTGTGTATGGTATGCAACTATCCAAATATAATGCAAAACAATAAAATGTGGTTATATGAATGCGTAATTATGGGCCAAAGGTGTTGTCCCCGCCTCCCATATGTGAGAATAGTACATACGGACTTTAAATTTCAGGAGAGTGATTATTTCTAAGAGGCAGAAAAAAGGGATGGGATAGGGTTTTGCTAATACTTGCAGTTATTTATTTATTTCTGAAGAAGAACAACATGATAAACAAGACAGGGAACCAAGCCTACCGGCTTAGTCTTCAACAGCGAATACTTAAGTATTTCCTATGCTCTCATGAACATAATATTTCAAAATTAAAATTGATCATTGTAAAATAAATGGTAGAGGTGTAGAGTATCTTCCTTCTAACAGCAGGTCGGCTGGACTTAAATAGCCATTCCCTAGAAGGATGTTCTTTTCAGTGGAAGCTTCGGAGAGCCCAAGATTTTGTGGCTCCAAAGCAGGACTAGAGTTTCAATATGCAAAACGAGAGAAATGTCCTTGATTAAAGCTAATAAAGTCTCTGAAGAGCAACTACATATAAAATTTCTTTTTGATTCGTCTTTGGTTCAATTAGAATGGGAGTATTAAAATTTAAGTATGGCTTCTAAGCCATATATATACCATTAAATTTGCAGGAATAATGAAACCAACCGATTTTATTCCTCTTTAATAATACATTCCTATACTTGCTCTTAAGGTAAGGTTAGCATTTATTTATTGATCATGATGCATTATCTACACAGTGGAAACTACTAAGCAGTTTTTATCTCCTGTGATATTTCTGAATAATTCAGAAACTAATTTCTGTTTTCTTTTTCTCATTAAAGTTTGTCTCTTTTAAATGTAGAAAATTTAAGTGACCTATGGCTTAGTTTGTTTCTATATTGCCCAGATGGCACAAGAACATAAAGTACCCAGATAGATTTTGCAGACAAACATATCCCTATAGCTTCATCTTTTTCTGCATTAATGCCTTTTTTTCTCCAAGTATTTAGGAACAAAACAACACAAAATTATAGAAGAATACACTCCTTTTCAAGCCTGCCTCTCCATCTAAATGCTAAACTCTCCCTCAATGCTTTTCATAGCCAGATATTTTTAAATATTTCCATTTCCTCACTTCCCATCAACTCTTGAAGAAAAGACATCTGGCTTCAGCCATTATTCTAAATTCATTACATTTTATCCTGCTAATATCAATAATTGTATTTCAGATTTATCTTATTTGACCTCTGATTGTCTGAATCATTCTCATTTTTCCATGGAAATGATACTTGAGGAAGAAATGTGATTTCAAAAGATGGAATTAAAGTGCACCTCAAGATATAAAAATAATAGAGATTTGTGAACAGTTGAGAGAACATTTTCTGCCCTGTTAATCCCATGGTAAATTACTTTTGCTGCTGTTTTGGTTTCCTTTAAATCATTTCTTAAATATACTTTCTTTCCAATTCAACCCATATCTCAACTTGTGTTTTGTGTTTGTTTGTTTTGTGCTTTTTTTTTTTTTTATCAGAGCCTATGTAATTGCATTTGCCATTGACTAATCGCTTTTGTAAAGTAACAACACCTTAATGCCCCAGTTTCCTCAGCTCTAATTTGAGGGTGTGAATGGTATCTATTTATTGTGTTTTTGCATGAATTAAGTCACCTAATATCTGAGAATAATTAGAGTTAAAACAATGCATAGACAAACTGACCAAAGAAATAAAACTGAGAATCCAGAAACAGATGTATACATATATTATCAAGTCGTTTATTATATTGGCAACAGTGAAGTTGTGTGCAGGAATCTCAATCTTTTCAACAAATGAGCAGCCTAATGGGATAACCATATGGGAGAAACCTACCTTGATCCACACACTTCTAACATCATAAACACGAAGCATTTGCAACTATGTAGGTCTCAATGTGAAAGGAAAAGCAGGAAAGCTTTTAAAAGTACACAGGAAGACATTTTAAAGATTTTGGAAGAAACAAAGATTCCTTTTTTTAAAATTTCTTAAAGTATTACAAAAGGTATTACATATGTCTCCTTTTTTCCTCCGCCCTTGACAATCCCCTGGCCTCCCCTACCCCCCAGTGTCTTATGTCCATTGGTTATGCTTATATGCATACATTTAAGTCCTTTGGTTGATCTCTTACTCCCCCCTTCTGCCCCCCTACCCTTCCCGGCCTTCCCGCTGCAGTTTGACAGTCTGTTTGAGGCAGCCCTGCCTATGTATCTATTTTTGTTCATAAGTTTATAATGGTCTGTCTTTATTATCCATGAATGAATGAGATCATGTGGTATTTTTCTTTCATTGACTGGCTTATTTCACTTAGCATAATGCTCTCCAGTTCCATCCATGCTGTTGCAAATGGTAAGAGTTCCTTCTTTTTTATAGCAGCATAGTATTCCATCGTGTAGATGTACCACAGTTTTCTAATCCATTCATCTACTGATGGGCACTTCGGCTGTTTCCAGATCTTAGTTATGGTGAATTGTGCTGCTATGAACATATGGGTGCATATATTCTTTCTGATTGGTGTTTCTGGTTTCTTGGGATATATTCCTAGAAGTGGGATCACAGGGTCAAATGGGAGTTCCATTTTTAGTTTTTTGAGGAAGCTCCATACTGTCTTCCATAGTGGCTGCACCAGTCTGTATTCCCACCAGCAGTGCACGAGTGTTCCTTTTCCTCCACATCCTCTCTAGCACTTGTCGTTTGTTGATTTGCTGATGATAGCCAGTCTGACAGGTGTGAGATGGTACCTCATTGTTGTTTTGATTTACATCTCTCAGATGATTAGTGACTTTGAGCATGTTTTCATATGTCTCTTGGCTTTCTGAATGTCCTCTTTTGAAAGGTGTCTATGTAGGTCCTTTGCCCATTTTTTGATTGGATTGTTTATCTTCCTTTTGTTAAGTTGTATGAGTTGCCTATAAATTTTGGAGATTAGGCTCTTATCAGATATGACATTGGCAAATATGTTTTCCCACACAGTGGGTTTTCTCGTTGTTTTGTGGATGGTTTCTTTTGCTGTGCAGAAGCTTTTTATTTTGATGTAGTCCCATTTGTTCATTTTCTCTTTAGTTTCAAGTACCCTAGGAGCTGTATCAGTGAAGAAATTGCTTCGGCATATGTCTGAGATTTTGTTGCCTTTACATTCTTATAGAATTTTTATGGTTTCTCGTCATACATTTAAGTCCTTTGTCCATTTTGAGTTTATTCTTGTGTATGGTGTAAGTTGGTGGTCTAGTTTCATTTTCTTGCATGTATCTGTCCAATTTTCCCAACAGCATTTATTGAAGAAACTATCTTGACTCCATTGTATATTCTTGCCTCCTTTGTCAAATATTAATTGAGCATATTGGTTCGGGCCAATTCCTGGGCTCTCGATTCTATTCCATTGATCTATATGTCTGATCTTGTGCCAGTACCAGGCAGTTTAGAGAACAGTGGCTTTGTAATAGAGCTTGATATCTGGTATTGAGATCCCACCTACTTTGTTC